GTTTCAGAATATCCAAAAGGAGGCCCCAGCTGAATACCAGAAGTACCTAGTACAAGTCACAAAATACCAGGCTGCCAAACACTGCAAGGTGATAATGCAACTTAATAATTGTATACAGATATAAGAATTAAAGAAGGAACAAATACGAGTATACGCCTAATCTAGGAGTCAACAATAAAAGTATACATTGAATCCAAGAATTTAATGTATACATATTAATGTATACACTATACCCCTCCGTCTCCTTCTAAATGTCTCATTTTATCATATTGGGACGTCCTTATTTAATTCTCTCATACCTTATTTGGTAAAGTTTATGTGGCTCAAAATCATTCTTACTTTATTCTTACTTTATTCTTTTTTATCAATTAATATCAACCACACAAACCTATTTTTCTTAAAACTCGTGTCACCCTCTTACGTGTCACAAACCTATTTGAAGTATATACACTGCAAGGTTATAAACGGTATATAAATATTCTTTTATGATTGAAGTGTATATTTGTTCATTATTCCTATAGATTATCCTCCTTATTACATAAAAATAGTTATTAACCAATAAAAGTATACATTGAATCCAAGAATTTAATTAAAACTCAAAATTTTATTTTTAATTAATTACAGTACTTAAACTATTCTCTTTACTAAGTAAGGATTTCTTTGATTATAGACATGGATAGTTGGGAAGTGGATCACAGCAAGGGAGCAAAACTTTGCACCAAAGGGAACTCATTTCCACCAGTTTGTGGTTCCTCCGGTTTTGCCCTTCAGAAGAGACTGCACCTATGGCGATCTTGCCGCCATGAAACTCCCTGATGATGTACAAGGTCTTGGATCTTGTGAGGTGAGCAACATACATAATACACTTTAGCTTCTTTTATGTCATTAATAAAAGGACGATTGTGACGAATCAATGAAAAATGAATGAATGATGGCATCACACAAATTTTTTATCGCGAGTGAATGTGAAAGTATTTCAGACATTACTAAAATATCAACTAATAAACTAATTACTAGATAAAATCTCAGGCTACTCCTTATCTGATCTTTTAAATGGATTAAGGATGTTTTTACTTGACTGTAATTTGCTGGTCTGGTTTGGGCTAGTCTAGTCTAGTCTGGTCTGGTTTCTTTGTATTTTTATAACTATCCAAGTTTGGCCTGGTCTGGGACATATTACAGTCCAAATAAAAACATCCTAACTGATCTTAACTGTTGAAGACCTACACCGATAAATTAAGAAGTAATAAAGTGTCATATTTAGATCATGAGTTATTTCTCTTATGAGGTTAACATTTTAGGATGAAACATTGAGTATTAACATGGTATACGAGTCAAACCGATCAATAACCATGTTGTGGGGCTTTATGAAAAATGACGACATGGTTATCACACATGACAATGACGAATCGATGAAAAATGAATTCTGGCACGATCCAGTCGAAACGTCTAGTCGTGAGGATATGTGTTGAAGTCCCACACCCATTAACTAAAAAGTGATAAAGGATTATACTAAGATGTTGAGTTATTTCTTTTATCAAGCTAAGCTTTTTTAACATTAAATATTGAGAAAAATAACAAACAAACTAAATTAGACCGATTAGCTTCAATAAAGAGCACAAAATTTCAAAATGTTGAGTTGACTTTCCCCAACAAATAGGCCAGGGAGGCTATATTAAGATCTAGTCTAGGAGTACGCTACGTATTATGGTTGCATGCCTAGTCTACCTTAGACCAATTTGGCTCATCCAATCCATTCCGTAACTTATAAATAGTATTTGATGTGGGCACCTAGCTAACTAACTAATAGGAAACCATAATGCTTAATTTTGACTAATGATGATTTTGTGTGTATTTATTATTATGATGAAATGTAGTATTCAATGGAAAGAGGAGTGGTCCATGCATGCCATGCTGGAGGAGTGGTTCATTTCCTTGAAGGGTGGACCCATAATGAAGTTGGAGCTCTTGATGTGGACAGAATTGATGTAGTTTGGGAAGCTGCTCTTAGGCATGGACTGAAGCCTGTCTCAAGGGTTGGAATGGAGAAAAACATGGTTACTAGTAGCTAGGACACAGGGATGGATCTGATCTATGTATGTAGTGATTTGTGGTGTCAAACTGAACAAATGTCCATCTTTTGATCTTTATGTATGTTTAAACTCAAAAACATATTCCATATCTATACAAGTATGTACCCATGCATATATATGGACTGAATTTTCAAACCCATACCACCAATACAAAAATAAAATTGTGCGGCATACATAATATTAACCCCCCCCCCGTGCAGCCCCCAATTTTATTTATGTTTGATTCACTCACATCAAGAAGATAAATTAAAAGTAGTATAAACTAAGTAATGCTATAAAAATAAAATTAATGGTAAAATAATGTAAGATACAATAGATTAATAGGTATGTTCAGAAGTCAATGGAATATAAAGGCAAGGACGACACACTATTACAGGTCTCCCCTAATATAGAGCACAAAAAATTAGTTGATCTTCCATCATCGTGAGTCTCGTGACATATCACAAAAATCAACCGAGAATTGAAGGGCTTCTTACTTGCAAGTTCGAAACCATGCACCCTGCCCAAAGGTGAATAAGGTGATGCATAAAATTAAACATAAATTGTCTCATTGTCTGGGGTGAGATAGTTATATCCGTCATTATTAAACCTAAATTACACGGAAACATGCAAAGTTCTAAATGGTGTAGATCTAGTCGATCAGTTATCATGGGACTCAACAAATAGTAACAGTTAATAAAAGTTAATAGTATTTATACAATTAATTTTTGAAAAAGTAAAAATTAAAGCATTTAGAAAAAAATTGCATAATAGAAAAAAGAAAAAATAATTTAAAGCACTATCTATTTTCATCACTTAATAATAACACTCGTTTAATGTTATTGAGTCGTTTGACCATGGCCCCGATTAGTTGATAATCTCTATTTTCTGCTTATCAGTCTTATAAATTAATTTCTACTTAGTATTAACTATTAGTGTTTAACTTTGATTTTTCGTGCTAAATCGTGTAATAATCAAAATAAGTAATGTTGGAGTGTTTTTTTTGTTGAATTACTTTAGAGGACTATTTAACCTATTTTTTAATATAATTTTTTCTTTAATCTATTCATCAAATATACTTCAATTCTTTCCTAATTTAACAGATTCAACCAATTCATGCATATCGTTTTAACTAACATTTCATCAATTTCAGCAGATCCCACCAATTCAACCAATTTCAATTTTGAAAAATGGGCCTTAAATCTGATTAGATTGTTTAGAATCAGTATAAATTAAGAAATTACTCGAAATAAAAATAAAAATAGTAGTGAAGTTTAAAAAATACGACTAATTAAGTGTACACATATGTCTAATAAAAGAAAGAACATTAGCTAAAAACTCATCCCAAATGAGAATAGATAAGTTCTATTTTAGAAACAAAAACAATCATTTTGAAATGTGTTACTTTCTTGTTTTTAATTAGTAATGTTTGACTTTTTCATGCAGTGATACCAAATTTTGGCCCTAAATATATTTATACATGGAAATATTTATTACTCTGTATATGAAAGTGATAGAAAAATCTTTGTTAAATATGTTAGGGATTTGTCTAAAATAGGAATAAAAACGGTCTCAAATTTTAAAATATGACTGCTATAAGAGTCGCTATTGCCATGTAAACAAGTAGCTATTTTGACCATAATGACTCCAAAGTGACAGTAAAGATATTGTCATGCTACTTCTATTTCGAAAAAAACATAACGACCCTATTTTAGAATTTTGAAACATTTTACTTCTATTTTAATTTTCCCAAATTCTTATCATAAAAGTATAAAATTTATATGTTTTGAAAAAATACATTAGTTACAATAATTGATCAAATTTTATTATCATTAAGGAAAAGTAAAAACTGGGTCACTAAAATGATAGTACGCAATACATTGTATTAATGGGACATTGTCTAAATAGGAGTAACTGCGTGTTGTAATTCTAAAATATGAATGTTACTCCGTCCGTTCCATAAAATAGTTCCTGCATTGATTTGGATCAGAGTTTAAGAAAGTGAGAATAAAGTGGAAATATATGGTTGTGGTTAAGTAAGAAAAAGGTAATTGAATGTGAGTATACAAAACTTTCCAAAAAAAAGGAAATAAGAACTATTTTTTGGAATGGTCCAAAAAGGAAGTTGGGAACTATTTTGCGGGACGAAGAGGGTATATTTACCTTAGTGAAATAGGAGTTATAACTCTCATGATGATTGAAAATACCGTCATTACTCAGATCAGAGTAAATAGTGTAATCAGAACTGGAGGTACACGTTTTGTGTACACATGTCTGTCCTTCACAGACAAATTGTTTGTGACAGACAATTTGTCTGTGAAGGACAGACATGTGTACACAAAACGTGTACCTAAAGCATTTTTCATGTCTAATAGTGCAACTACTATTTATATTGCAGTAATTGCTTCAAAATGATACGTAGTACTCCTATTTCATTGCGAGAAGAAAAATAAGATTTTTTTTTGGAATTTTGAAAATTGGGAAACTTTCTTAGTACACTCTATATATCCTTAGGGTATCATACATTTGTTCACGTGGACCAATCAGAATGTTGCAGTTGAATTATTTATATCTAAATTCAAAATGATACTACCTCCGTCCCCCTAAGTTTGGCACAAGAGAAGGTGATACGGTTATTAATAAAAGTGAGTTTATGTGGTTGATATTAAATTGATAAAGTAAGAATAAAGTATAAATTATTTAGAACCACACAAACTTTACAAAATAAGGTATGTGACAATCTAAGTGGGACGGACCAAAGTGGTAAAATGGAATAATCATAGTGGGACGGAGGGAGTATAATAATGTGAATCAATCAAGTGAGTGATAAGTATGGTACCCCATTGTTTAAATGGGTACCGGAGTCACCAACTTTCTTTGCATTTATTTAGATTATTATGACAAAATGTACACGTGTCAGGGTGTCGTGGAAGCACCGCCTGTAAGACGCCACACGCGTCGATCGCTAGTTTCGTGTAATCAGCCATGTCGAACCACCTCAAACAAACACTTGTTCGCGGACACCGAAAAAAGAAAGTCCTACAAAAAATGGTAAAGACAACCGCAGGAGGATCCGCTTTAGCCGTTCATCACACCAAGAAGAAGAGGCGGCCGGTGCCGGAACGCCGCCGCTCTTTTAAGAAGAGAGTGTTTGATTATCTCTTTTCCGATGATTACATGTTTGCACCCCTGCTTTCCTTGCATTCCTCAATAGTCTCCTCATCTTCATTTGGTACGGATTTCACATGAAATGGATGAATCGGTTTCAATTTTACTTTTTATTTTTATAGTTAGTTTTTGAATTAGAAATTAAAACTTAATTAGTTATATCAGGTATATACGGAGTACTAAATAGGAACGAAAACAATACTCTGGATGATATTTCAAAATAAGAGTGTTATCTTTTTCTTGTAATCAAGAGATTAGGAGTAACTTAATTTTTTATTTTATTTTAATTGATACCACTTTGAGGCCAATCTAGCTTTCTTAGAGCATCTCCAATGCTAGAATGTGCACGGTGCAGAAATAGCCACATAAATATTAGCAAATAAATTATCTTTCTCCTTGACATTGTGGAGAAAAACTTATCAAAACTGTATAAAATCATTCAAATAAGGAGAGAAAGAATTTATTTACTAATATTTATGTGGTTATCTCTCATGTCACATGTGCACCGTGCACATTGTAGCATTGGAGATGCTCTTATCTAGTACAAAAACATACTCGTACTACGAAGTATTAGCTTTCCTGTCTAGTACCTTGAAAAATACTACTAGTATCAATTACTACTTCAACACTGCCATATTAACATTCAAATCATTTAGGATGTTTTCGGATGTTTTCAGTCTGAGACCAGATCAGATCAGACTTGATTTCCTTAGTTATAAAATACATAAAGACCAAATGTTTACCAGATCCGTTTACCAGTTCAGACCAGACTAGACCAGCAAATTTCAGTCCAAAAGAAAACATCTAACTTTGAAGATGATGTCAATTATTATACTAATACATCATCACCATTACCCCGGTGTCGCAAAGTCTCCCACCTATAGTGGGTACGTGCAGGGACGGTGGGATACGTGCAGAGACGTAGGTAGAAGTAAGAGTTGGGCTGGATCGGTACAAAGAATTTTTACAGATAATTTTTTACATTAAAAATATAAGCAATTTTAAAATTTGGACCAGGTCGTGGCCCAGTTGGCCACCCCTCCACCTCCGCCCCTGGGTCTGTGGTCGGATGTACTAAAGCACATGGAGATTGTTTTCGAATGAGCATAGTGAAAATAGCGAAAATCGTGGACTGTCTGCTGCTTCATAACAAAAAAATCGCTGACAGTTTAATGAACCATTTTGTTTTATTACGTCATATTTCCAAGCCAAAAGATATTGAGTCATTGGCTCCATTGCAAATGATGGCAAAATTATTACACTAATACCAACACATTAATGTCTGGTAATATCAAAATATGATAGTATTATTGCATGATAGCCATGAATGTTCCTATGGTATAATATTAATTATAATGCTACTTAAATGATAGCCATGGTATAATCCTACTTAATTGAAAGTGCAATTCTATGAGTAGCCAAAAGTAACAGGATTGACAAGAACTTTTGGAAAGGATTCACTAAAATTCGTAGACGATTTGGCACAACCACGCCAAATTCAGGCCAACAACATTTTATCACAAGCTATTTGACACAAAATCATTGATCAATCCGTGTCAATCTAGTTATTTTTTTGTATTACTGAACAAAATTCATGGACAAGAGCTTGAATTATATTGTCACTATCACAATGTTGTCCCTCCATATTAGCCATTACCATCAAAGTGACTAGGATTACTATAATTTTGAATTTATGTTGGTGTTCATCTTTCTTAAGTCATATTTTGTTAGGTGTTAGTTTTATCATTCAGTTCATTAGCAGGAATTGGGGAACCACTCTCAAAGGAAAAAGAGGAGGATTTTGTGGGGAAAGTTGTTGATTATATGAGGTCTGATTGCTACTTGTACTCTCCAATGGTGATTACTCAACCGTGGCTTACATCATCTGTTCAATGTCCACCCCCAGCTAATAAAACAGGTTTGCTTAGAGGTTTGCTTATTGGTGTTCCCCTGGCCTCCTCTCTCTCTACATATATAAGGCTCAATCCTAAGATGCATATAGCCTATGACTAGTCCCGCATTTGATCTAATCCTCAGTGTGCAATGTGGGATGATGTTGACTATATTAGTAAGGCGTCCCTTATCTTAAAAGGTTAACCTAACGTGAGAAGTAACATAGTCTAGATCTTATATATTATACAAAGTATTACTTTAATACTGCGTAGTTTATTCGTTGGAAACATCTATATTATGTATATGCATATTTATGTTGTTATAGATTTATAGTCTAGATCTTAATATGCATTGGTCATTTACTAGATAGGCAAGCGAAAGTGGCCTTCAAATCTCTGGGAGCTTTAATACGTAGTATAAGCTATTTCTGTGTTTTAGGGTTACATCATATCCTTGAAAAGATAGACACGGTCGAAACCGGAGATTTGTTAAAAGAAGGCGATCAAACTGATCATCCTGTTGAGAAGATTAGTAAGGACCAGAACACCGATAGCTGTCATCCTTTTGATTTAAGCCGCACTCGCATCAAAAGTACCAGCTTACGGCAAGAAAGAGTTAAGCATGTGATATTGCAACCCTCCCATCCGTTAACCCCGTGACAACAGGTTATTCCTTTGTTTACTATCTTTATTCAATTCTGCAGGTACATATTCTGCAGGTACATAAAGTGTTGCATTATGTTTAAGTATCATACATTGCACAATTTATCCAATTTTGTCATACTATATGAGAGTAGGACATTATTATGTTAACTTCATTGTCTTCATCCATATCGAGATACAAATAGTTTAAACGCGTTATTTTAACTTTTATTTACATGGAGCTATTAGATGTTGTTGTTGGGCCATTTGGACTTCTTTAGCTTAAAGGACAGCTGCTACGAGCAGGGACAGTGTTAAAGAATGATTCATAGAATAGTTGTCTTATTGCAAATTTTACCCAAAATCATCTTATTTACTTGGGGGTAAATCTTGATGCTGCTTCCCTAACTCTGGCCATACGTTTATCTATTGTCTTAGTTTTTAAAAGATTATGAGCCTGTTTGGCAAAACTGAAATTGACTTATTCTGTTGATATTGATGAAATTAATGTTGAAACGATTGAATTGTCCCTATCTCTAGCCCTACGTTTATCTATTGTCTTAGTTTTTAAAAGATTATGAGCCTGTTTGGCAAAACTGAAATTGGCTTATTCTGTTGATATTGATGAAATTAATGTTGAAATGATTGAATTGTGAAAAAAAAATATTAATAATATACGTAGTATTTATTAACAAAATAAATAAAATTTATATGAAAATATAGCTAAAGTACTCATTTGCAACAATTTCAAGCCAAAACTTTGACCTCACTTATTTTGACTATTACACAATTTAACACACAAAATAAAACATTACATGTTTGGTAAAAAAAACGTTGGCTAATAAGATTAATAAGCCGGATATAGGGGTTACCAAATGCGTTCTACATCAAAGCTTGATCACATTTTTCTAAGCCGGCTAACATGAGGTGATTTTAATCCAGCTTTTATCTGTTTGAATTGGCATGTTGTTTGGCATGTTGTACTTATTTAAATGTGAACTCGTTATGTTTAATCTGTTGCTGAAATAATCTGTTGCTGAAATAATGTTTTATTCTGGCAGAAGAGTGTTCTTTGGACCTAGGAAGAGTCGTGGGAGGTTTGCGACGAACTATAGCAATCCCAAGTTTGCATATCACGCTTTAGTCTATCTTCAACTTTTTTTAGATACACATACTAAATCTATATATATATATTGCTCTAAAATTTTCTTTGTATTTGCTCCCCCCACGCCCAGGTCCCATGAAAGTACAGTTTTTAGTTTTTTTTTTTATTTGTAACAAGATATAACGGTCAGACATATGAGAAAATATATGGAGTATGTCAACACGCAGGATCCTGATCCATCTAACGGACAACAGCAACACGGGAGGAGAGCTTGGGAAGGGGAAGTGTGGATCGTGTGGGTGTAATAGGCCAGGCCCCTACCCAGCACTCTACCCGGCTGCAAAAGCCAGGCGGCAGAGAATCCTGATCCATGTCAACATGCTCACTATGGAGTATTCTCTCTATTCAACTCTTCTTTTGACTCACACAAGATTTATAGTGTAAATTTTGTGATCAAAAGTTGAGAATTGAGAATGAAGTCTATTTTAATTTAGGATGAAAATGAAAGAATGGGGTTGATTTTGGGACAGATCTAGTTTTTTCCTGTGCAAATTTATCTGCGTGTTAGAGAATTGAGAATTTTATTATTGTTTTCCGACTTTATTCAACGCTCTAATCCTTCATCCAAAACTCGAAACAGGATTGTCCTAAATTAGTTGACGGGATTTCTTGAACTTCATCCCATTTTAGGCTAAATTGACGTGAGAAACATAATCTTAGACGTGCCCGTCATTTTTAGCCTTAGTTTGGTGATGAAGTTAGGAAACACAAATACACTGTTTATTTAATTGGAAGTTGGAACCATATGATTATCACGGAGTTTAAGAGTGAAATAGTAAATGTGTGGAAATTATAGAAAACATGGAAAAGGTATTAAAAAATAGATGAAAAATACATACTGAAAAGGGAAATAAACATTTTACTAAAAGAAGTTCCAGAGAGAAAAATGTTGCTAGTAATAATAGCTTTGTATCTTTGCTACTACCTTTACTCTTCCCGGAATAGCTTATCTATTCATTGTCCACAACTATTTCATCTTCAACCAAAAAGGCAACCATCATTCCGCTTGGTGTTCTGTATTCAGAATTCCAACTAATCCTTTTATTTTGTCATATTATTCGTGCTTATTTCGTGTAATTTGAATTTTGTTTGATCCCCTCTAATTTCAACATGTAATTCGATCTCTTGGGATCCTAATGTTATTATGACAAGGTCTATTCTTCTTTGGAGGTTTATTTCTGATCGAATAAATTGATGTCAAGTTGGACTCATAGTAATTACCCTATGACAAGGTTAAATTATTCCGGGACAAATGAAGTATAATTGCGCTGCCCGCTTGCCAAAGGAGGATCTAGGTATGGGCGGTGGGTTGAAGCCCAGGACATAAGATGTGGCAATAATATTTAAGAGCTTTATGACAATGGTATGCTTTTACTTGAAATAGCAGAAATTCGAATTGTAAGTAAAAACTATCTTACATATATGGTATATATGAGCAACATGGCCATAGCGTTTTTCCAACTTTGATAAAAACATAACTGGAAGCTAGCCAAAGTCACCTTAATTAAGCTAGTACGATATGGGCGGTGATCGGGCGGTAACGTAGCCTGGAATTCTCTGTGAGCTGGTTCTTGATAGCGCAACATCCTACTACCAGTACGACAACGAAGAAGGCAATGAAGCTCATGTTAGCAATGGCCACCCTCTTCCAGTTTCTCTTGACCTCTTTGATCAACCCAGCCTTGCAAGACTGGCAGTCATAGCACAATATGTTTTGGTCGTTGCTCCAAATTCTGCAATCTGTGATATCGACTGAAGAATTTGTTGGGTTTTGGTACTTGGTGATGTGGCAGCCACTAGGCGGGTTGCAGCAACCTGACTGATAATAAGAAATTAAAAATTGTATAGTTGAAGTTGAGAGTAGAACTACAAATTACTATATTATTTATTTGAAAGGGAAAATGAAAGTCACAAACAAAAAAAAGTTGGTAAAAGACAAAGTAAAATAATACTCCGTACAAGTACTTAATTAGCTTAGACATTAGTAATCTGTGACTGTTATTAATCATCTGTATATTTTTCACTTACAAATTTGGTCGCATGATTCATAAGTCTTTTGCAATTGAAGGACTTTTTTATTGGAATGTACACTTTCGGGCAGAAAATTTGACGCCAATGCATCTTTTCCAATATATTTTGTATTGGAATATCTACTATATTGTGTGAAAGTCTTTAAATTGTAGAAATAATTACATAAATATGACCAAAATAAAGATGATTTACAAAAATATGATTAGTTACTAGAGTAGTAATGAAATCATAGTAATTCATATTCAAATTTTGAACTTTAGTTACTACAACACTATGTTGTAGTAATGAATAGTCATATTTATGTAAATAACTTTTATTTTAGTAATATTCTTATAAAAAACCCATTAATATAATTTGAAGTTACGGGACAAAAAATTATAAATTTTTCTACAGAAAAATCTAGGGAGATGTATTATATTAGTCGTGTTCCTTTTATGTCAACATTAAACTTGCGTTACTCCCTGAAACTAACTCCATCCCCAGATTAAATTTCGAGATATATAACATTTTTAGTCCAACCAACTCTCTAAATTTTGAGAAATAATTATTCAAAACTTTATGAGCCTTTATAAGATAGTTCTTGTTGGAGGTATTGGTCCTACCAAGGCCTCCCTTCCACTTTATTATTTAGGCTTGCACCCCATGTTTACTCCCACTTTGATTCCCTGAGTTGAAATCACTCATTGGTGGCCTGTTGACTTACCTGGAATCTGCCCCATCTTCTGTCCGCTGCTCCCTTTGATTGTCTTGGCTTATACCCGTGAATGTCCTTCACACCCGTGAGTGTCCTTGTTTTTCCTACCCGTGACTTCTCAATAGGCAGGCAGCCTATTATAAAGTCAACACTCCTCCTCTTTGTGAGATAAGCCTGCGAGAGAACATCCCAGTGCAGTGTCTTCCTTCTTCCTTTCCCTTTGTGTGAGAGTTCCTTAGTGGAGTGAAGAAGAGTGAGTAAACATGGGAGATGGAGTGGCCTAAGCCCTAGAGTGGTGTGTGTGAGTTTAGTTTAGAAGGTTGGAGACCTGAGCCGGAGACGGAAACGGTCATTACAGTGGTATCAGAGCCAGAACCGCCGTCTGCCGCCGACCTCCGCCGCCCCTCGCCGCCGTCCTACCTTCTGCCGTCGATTGGAGGTCACCGCTAACTCATTGCCGTCCGACGAAGTCCCTGGAGGTTGCCGAAGGTCCCTGAAATCATCTCTGCTGAAGCCTCGTTCTTCGTTGTTCTCTGCCCACAGACGCGAGCCTCATCCCCTTGGAGGTTATCGCACGCCGCCAGAGATACCACGTCGCTCGATGCCTGCCGCCGTCCTCCACTGGTAAATTCAAGAAGCAGAGAACAGGGACGAAGCTTCCCACCTGGGTCGAAGCTGCCCTGTGTCGCTGCAAGGAGGTGCTCGCCGATCGTCTTAGTCGCAGAAAGCAAAGGACCGTCGCCGGAGATTGATCGCCGTCTGTCTGGAACTCATCTCCGGTGGTCGCTCGTTGCTAGGCCCGTCGCCCGCCGGCGACTGTGTGCTCGCCGGCCTTGTCCGATTTCCTTCGTCGCAGGCCTCGCGTAGATGATACGCAAGTGAGGCGCAGTGCTGGATTGGTGAAGCTGTTGGGCCGCTTGTAATTTTTTTTTGGGAGCTGGGCTGCTGCACGTGAGTTACTAGACCAGGCCAAGGTGCTGGTCTACTAAAGCTGCTGTGTTGTTGGGCTGGTCTGATTGGGCTGCTTTGCTGCTGAGTCAGTGGACTGCTGGGCCGAGCTAAACTGGGCCGCTGCTGGGCTGGAGCTGGACCGCTGACTGCTGGAGGTGCTAGACCGCCAGTCAACGCCAGTCAACGGTGGTCAACGCCGGTCAACTCAGTCAACATCTCTAGAAAAATCCCAATTTTTTTAAATTGGGTAGGTAAGGTCGAAACGCTCTCCTAGGGTTTCGCGAAGGTGAGTTTTCGATAAACTTCCTATTTATTTTATTCCGGTTTTAATTTAATTTTTTCCCCCTCCCCGCGGGCCGCCGGTTGATTTAATCCCGGCCGCCAACCCCCCAGGTACGTACTAAACTTTCTCCTTTGTGGTAGACTGTTTTAGTTAATTAATTAAATTGCTTTGTGTTATTTAAATTAATTGTTATGCGTAGGGGTGGTTTATTGGGTGGTAGGGGTAGAATTGATTAAATTTAATTTTCTGCCCGGAATTGTTTAATTGCCAAAATGTCCATTTTTTTGCTATGTGTTGCATGCTGCCCGGGGTTATTAAAGTGAATACTTTATAACCCGGGTTGGATTATTTTCTGTCATTTCAGTCTGTTTAGCTTTGTGTTCCTTTTTTGGTTGATACCATGGCTGCGAATCAGTATGGTATGCTTCCATTTAATGGAAAAACAGATTTTGATATTTGGAAACAGAAAATAAAGTGTGTTTTAATACAGCAAAAAGTTTTCAGAGCTGTCACTGGTATTTTCCTTGAATCAGAAGATAAGGCTAAGCAAATTGAAATGAACGAAACTGCTTGTTCTACTATTTACTTGAATCTGTCTGATTCTGTGCTTAGGAAAGTGGGTATTCTTGAGTCCGCTAAGGAGTTGTGGGAGAAATTGGATAAGCTCTATACTGATACCTCTTTACCCGGGAAGTTGTTCTTACTAGAGAAATTCTTTAGGTTTAGGCTTGACCTGACTAAGGATATAGATGAGAACCTGGATGTGTTTAATAAACTGATACAGAATATCAAACAAGCAGGTGATAAACACATAGATGATTATACTCCCATAGTATTACTTAATGCCATTCCCGACTCTTATAATGATGTTAAGTCCGCTATTAAGTATGGTAGGGATGAGATTTCGTTAGACATTGTTGTGAATGGGTTAAGAAGTAAGGAATTAGACCTGAAGCATGCTAGGGGTAGTGCTAGTCAGTCCAGGGACTCCGGTGAGGCTATGTTTGTTAGGGGTAGATCTAAGGGTAGGTCTAAGAACTCTAAGCAAAATAGTCAGGGTAAGAACACTAGTCAGCCTGGGAGGAAGAGGAGTAAATCTAGGAAGAGAGTGTGTTACAATTGTGGTAACACTGGCCATTTCATTAAAGATTGCCCCCACCCTAAGAAGACCGAGCATGCTAGTGTAGCTGTTGATAAATGTGACCTTGGTGATATTTTGATGGTTTGTGACCATGTTAATTCTGTGAGAAATTCCCTGTCTGAGCATGAATGGTTGATTGACTCTGGTTGTACCTATCACATGTCCCCCTTTAGAGATTTGTTTCCTACTTATGAATTATGTGATAGTGGCTATGTTTCCTTAGCTGATAATAAGAGATGCAATGTGCTTGGTGTTGGTGATATATGTCTGAAGTTTTCTTGTGGCTCTGTGTTTACCATTAAGAATGTGAGGCATGTCCCTGATTTGTGTCACAACTTGTTATCTGTTGCTGCTTTGGAGAGTAGTGGGTTACAGGGAAAATGGGGGAATGGTTGTATGAAAATCCTGAAAAACTCGCTTGTTTTGTTTAAAGCTGAGAAGGTGAATAACCTTTATGTGTGT